AACTGGCTATTGTGCGTGGCACAGAGGCACTGCCAGTGCATAGGAAGACCTCTGTGGGAGCCTTCGGGGGCAGAAGCGGGCGCTGCACAGCGCCTGTTCCAGCGGGAGGCTGAGCAAGGACGCAGGGTTGCCTGTGGAGATGCAGCCATCCGCCAGCCCCACTCAGGGCTCCTGGGTCTTGTGGGGGGCAGAGGACTTTCCTCTGGCTTGGTGCTTCTCCTCCCAGGCCCCCTGGCTCCTCAGCAGTCTCTTCCACACTGTGTTCTGATCCGTGGCCTGATCTTGACCTTGAAACAAATTCCTCGGTCGCTGTCCTTCAGGGATGGCCAGAACTGTGTTGCTTTCTTTCCCTGGTGGTCTGGTTGTGAGATGGCCAGCAGGTCAGCTGGGAGATCGGTTCTCACTTCTGCAGCCTCCTGGAGGCAGCTGTCAGGGCAGATGGCCCCGTAGGTCAAGTGTCTGTGTCCTCAGGGGACGTATGGCAGCCAAGTGCATGCTTCAAGGAGAGCCAGGATGTGGACTTTGACAAGTGACCAAGGTGTGGGGCCAGACAGCTGGTGGTGGCGTGCTGTGCTCAGCCACAGGCCACTGCATGAGCCCTGCCTGCGTGTGTGGAGGCCCCTGCTGTGGGCACCTTGTTCCCCGGCGTCACCCTGTCTCACCAGTGTAAGGTAGCACACTGTGCCCGTCCCCTCTGGAGGAGGCATGCGGATGTGAGCTCGGCTCACCTGGTCTATTTTCCCATCTTTCCAACAGTCAGTGCTGTGGGTGCGAGTGCCCTGGGTGGGGCGGGGATGCGGCCTGCTGGGGCCTCCTCTGTGGGTCCATGTGGTCCTGCTGGTCTCATGGCTATGGTGATTGTCATCACCCACCCTCCTGGAGCCCATGCTCCAAGAACGATGTCGCCCACCTGTGATCCTGACCTTGAAAGAGTTTCCTGGGTCACTGTCTCCCAAGAGCCTCGTGCCACCAGGCTTGGAACAGGCCAGAGCTCATCACAGTCGGATGCAGGTGGACTTGAGGCCTCACCTGTGGTTCAGGGACCACCCACTGACCATCAGATGCAGGCGGTTGAGAAGCCAGAGGGTGGGTGGACATGAGGCCCAGGGAGGTCCTGCTTTCCTGGGGGCTGGGTCCTTGCTAGGCCCTGGGGCACTGCACTGTTCAGCTGCAGGGAGGTGTGGCCAGTGCTTCCGGGTCTCCATCTGGAATTGTCCCAGTGCCCCAGCTGGGAAGGCTCTGGCCTTCAGGCGCACTTGTAGCATGAAGGCTTGTCCTCCAGCAGTGCCCACTTCCAGAGGCTGAGGTTGCAGGATATGTTCCAGAAATCCAAGGATGAGAACCATGTTGACTGGCAGGTGTGGTGGTGCACACCTGTACTCCCAGTGACTTAGGAGGCTGAGGCAGGAGGGTCAAAAATTGGGGACTAGCTTGGGAAACCTAGTGAAACCCTTTGTCCAAAAAAAAAAAAAAACAATGTGAGTCCTCACTGTGAGAGGGTGCACCTCAGAGACGGAGTGCAAGGGGCCCTGCCTGCTGAATAGCGTTCCGAGCAGAGCGGGGTGCTGGGGTGCTGGCTGAAGGCTGGAACCCTCATGGCGAGAGCTGCTGGTTCGTCAACCTCCCCCTTGGTGTCTGTTTCATGCCGGATCCTTTTTATGCAGGTCACGCGTGTGAACGGCCAGTGAGGGGTTCTAGCATGCTGCCACCATCCAGGTCTCGGGTCATCTCCAGTGACGGAGCCAGTCGCTTCTCTGGGGGCAGCCTCCTCCCAAGGGGAGGACCGAGATGTGAGTCGAGGCTGTGGGGCTCCCTGGGTGGTGGTGAGTGGCACTGTGGGGCAGGGCAGTGGTGTTGGGGGCCCTCTGGGGCCGGGGCAAGTGGTTGCTGTGACCAGCTTCCGGCCTTGATGAGGTTCCTTTGGACCCACTGTCCCCACCACATTCCCCCAGGCTGGGCCCTGTGGCCAGCAGTGTGGTTTCATGGGGAGACGGTGATTCTATGGCAGTGTTCGGGTTTGGTCAGCTACTCACCACAGGAAAGGGGAAAGGTCAGGGTGGACCTCAGCTGATTTTAAAAGCACATTTGAAACTCCCCTTTGGTTTCCTAGCCACTTACAGAGCTTTGGAAAGAAACACCTGGGTCTGGAGAGCAAGATCTGGGTGTGGCAAAAGTGCTTCACGGCAGTGAGGGGCTGGGGTTTTCTATCCCCTTAGAAATGAAACCCACTGACCTGGATCTAAACACGCCGTTTGAAGTAAAAATGGGTGATGCTTTTTAAGTGGCCTTTTCCCCACACGTTGTGGATAGCCGTCTTGTGTGGGTCGTCCCTGACTTCATTGGCCTTGAACTGGAGCTCCAGGAGGGAGGCAGAGCCATGGCTTGTTGGAGCTGGGTGGGGCTCTGGGTTCCATCTTGCAAAGCCTTGAGGACGCCACTGTCCAATCCCCGATCCTTGAGGCACAACCGAACTCTTCCAGGGACAGAGGCCTGTGTGCCCAGCAGAAGCTCGGAGGGACCCATGACCCAGGGGAGCCATGAGTCTGTTTTGGGCCCCGCTCCTCATTTTAATATGGATGTTAAATTTTGGATAGCTCAGACGTGATTCTGGGCTGGGCTTCCTCCCATATGCCTGCGCCCTTAGACGTGGAAATGTCCTTTAGGGGTGGTAAGACATTGGAACCAACCTGTAGTATCTAAAAAGCAATTATTTGGCTTTAAAATAGAATGATGGTGAGGGACCTGGCAGTGGCACTTGTGAGGGGAGAGGAGAGCTGCTTGGGAGGACGCCCTCCGTGTCTGATGGAAGGTGGACCTGGCCAGGAGGGTCCCTGCAGGCCTTGCTTTGCTCAAGGAAACTTCTGGTGGTGGCTGTGTGCCAGGAGTACCTGGCTCCTGGGTTGAGGTGTCCCTTTACCTGGCCTTCCTGGCCGGGCAGGTGGCAGCTGGATGTCAGGGAGTCTCATGTGTCAGTTCTTGATGTGGCCTTGTCCCTGGAGGTAGTCCCACCACCACCTGTAGCCCTGCCTCTGTAGCGGGTGGGGTGGGGTGAGCACAGCTCTGCTTCTGTCACCTACTGGTGGCTTTCCTGGTGCTCAGGGTGTGAGTAGCCCACCCTCCAAGGACATAGGCTGTTCTTGGGCTCAGGTGGTCCAGGGGCGTTTGGAGCCTGGCTTGACTTGAACTCCATCTGCCTCTGACACACTGGGAGGCTTGCAGCCAAGGGACACAGCCCCTCATAGCCCCCTGCTCCTGAGCTGAGCTTGACTGGTGACGGCACACGTGGCTTGGGTGAGGGTGCCCTGAGAGCACAGGATGGTGCCCACCTGCAGGACGCTTCCTGGAGGGGCCGCCTCGGAGCTGTAGCCACATCCTGGCTGGTGTTGGTGCCCTTTAGATCCAAGCACATGAGCCTCCCACCAGAAAGTCACTTAATGGAGTGTCCAAGGACCAGACTCCAAATTCTTTTTATCTGAGAGGCTGGTGAAAGAAGAGGTGCTGTGGGGCTCAGGCTTGGGAGTTGCCATCTGTCAGCACCTTAGAACTCATAGACGGGACCTACAAAGAAGAATCAGATTCATTCACACTTGGAGCTTCCTGTCTGGATAAAGTGGTTCTGGGTGGCCCACCACTGTCTGCTTGGAGAGCATGGACTGCACACAGCCCCCCCTGACTCCTTTTCTGACCCTTCAGCAGGAAAAAATGTGGTCCAAGCACAGAAGCTGGCTGATGTGGACAGCGACCTGGCCGCCATGCTGCTGACCCATGTGAGGGGCGGCCAGGGGCTCCAGGGTGCTGGCCATGAGGCTGATGCTGTCCGCAGGCGCAAGCTGGAGAGGATGCGGTCTGTGCGCCTGCAGGAATCCGGAGGAGAGCCGGGCAGCCGCAGAACAAACATACTGGTGAGGGTCCAGGCTGTGTACCCATGTCTGTCCTTCCCTCCTTCTGGTCCTCTGTCAACTTTTTTCCAAATCCTGGTTATAAGAGACAAGGGCAATTTTCAGGTTGGAATTTTCTGGAACTCTTCTAAGTAAAGCTGATTCTTAAGCTTTACTCTTGGAAGTTGCTTCCATTTAGCTTGGCCATGCCTTGGAGCTGGGGTTTTAAGAAAGCTGCAGGTGATTCTGAGGTCCCCCAGATTTGAGGGCCAAGAGCTTAAATGTCTGGGATTATCACTTGAGTCAACTTGACCAAAAGAATTTCCTTTTCTGGCTGAATGTCTAAATAGACCTGTAAGGTTTTGCAATGAAGAAATGGGGGAAGAACGGCCACACCTCATGGTATGTGAACCCATGCTGCCACCAACACCCCCGTGGACCTCTGGGGTCATGGCAGCATGCACCTGCTTAGCCCCTGTGGGAGCCATATGCACTGGGGGCGGGAGGAGCCTTGGTCCCTGCCAGGAGCCTGGGGAAGGCAGAGAACCAGCCTGTCAGCCTGTGGGGAAGGAGGCAGTGTAGGTGGGAGGGTGCCGTGGGGGAGAGGTGGGCACGTGAGCCGGCTTTGGTGGGCTTGGCCTCTGGGGCCTCTGTCTCGCCTCCATGCCCACAAGTCCTCCCCAGGCAGGCTCCGTCAGCTGTCGGTGGGCTCACTGAGGGTTCCCTCAGGGAGTGGTGGGCCTGGAACACAGCGGTCCTCAGTGGCAGTGGCTGTGTGGTGGTGTCCCTATCAATCTGGCTAGCTTGCTGTCACATGGTGTGAGGAGAAGTGAGCCAGCCAGGCGTGGAGGCAGTCAAGCCACAAGCTGTCCCCCAGTTTCCCATGATGTTCTGAGCTGGTGGCCGGCAGGAGGTTGGTGAAGTGACTCGAGGGATCACATATCAGAGGTTCCTGTCACTTCCAGAGCCTTCACAAGTCAGGGCCCTGTGAAGCAGAGGTGCTGCGGCGGAGTCAGGCTGTTCTTGTTGGGCCGGCTTGCTGGGCCCCGCCTGGTCCTCTGTGGGGCAAGTTTGCTGCATCCTGGGATGGCCTTGACCCCAAGGGCTGTGCAGCAGGCAGGTGGGGGACCCTGGTCATCTTGTAGCAGGTGGCACAGCCCCAGGGAGGCAGAGCTAGGCAGGAGGCCAAGTGTCGCAGGGCTTCTCAACAGAAGGTCCTGTGGCCTGTGGCTGGGAGCAAGCTCCAGCAACCCGATGCCCTACCCTGTAATGCCAGGGGACGCTCTGTCCCTGTGCCTCCTCTTCCTTGTGAGGGTCACAGCCTACTGTGTGTCCAGTGCCCATAGTGACTGCCAAGATCAGAGGTAGCCACTGCATGTGTGCAGCCAGAGTCCTGCAGGGAGACCCTGGGTTGAGAGGGAGGCTGCCACTCTTGTGCAGGGGTGAGGGATGCTGTGGGGTTGCAGGTGACAGGAATCCAGCATGCAGTGGCCTGTAGCACAGGTCCCAGGCCCTCACCCTGGTTTATGGCCCTGCTGCTCTGCTCAGTGGCTGTCCCCACACGAGTCCTTTGATTCAGTAACTGCACAGCCCCAGGCAAGGCCAGCTGTGTTGGTCACCAGGGTCAGGTCCCCCCAGCTGCTCTCTGTATAGCATCCTCACCCTCTACCTCCCTAGGTGGCATCCCCACAGCCCAGGCGTGACACCTCAGCAGCACAGTGATGTTGTGCTCCCAAGAGCCATGCTGTCATGTCAGGCCGAGGGCCATGGAGGGGAAAGCTTGTACCCAGAGGTACAGTGAGCAGACGGCCCGTTGTCTCACTGCCTACCTGATGTGCCTGGGCCTGAGCCAGTGTCTAGGACCACACTGGGAGCGATGAGAGCTGGGGACCGAGGGACCCAGTGGGGACCATCATTGTTGTTTTGCTTTGGCTTTGAATTGATGGAGGAACATGACGGGAGAGCAGCAGCTAACTGCTCTCTTACTGATGGCTCTCTGCTGGTGACACTGACCTGGATCAGGCAGCTTCCTGACACGGAGCCTGGGATTTAAGGACAGACCCACCTGACCTGGGCACTGCCCGGCCTTCTCCACAGGAGGACTGTGAACCCCTAATTGGGTGCTGGCCAAGAGCAGTGGGAGCACCCGTGCTGACTCCAGGCCGGTGGACCCCGAGGGAGGAGCAGAGGCAGGGCAGCACCGTATGGCCAGATGATGTCCTGGGACTTTCTAATCAGGAGTCACCCTGTCTCCCGTGGGTGGACAGGGGTGGGGCGTTAGGCTGACAGGGTCCTTGTGGCATGGAAGGAGACAGGAACGGGCTAGAAGGCCCCCCTGTGGCCCCCAGCATCCATTGTGTTCACGTTATACCAAGTATGGTCACCCCATGCCCTCCCTGGACAGCTGGTCTAATAGGCAGTCTTGCACGTGTCTTCAAGTGGGCCACTTCTTAAAGACTGCTTCACTGGTGGGCAGAGGAGGTGTAGGCCCCTCCACTGGGCACACGTCAGAAAGGTGTCCGTTCAACTGCGGGTCCCTCCTCATCCTAACTCATGTCTGGCTCTGTGACCCAGCACCACCATCCAGAGGCTTCACTGCTTGGACAGGTCTCGTGGCCAGATGCCCGTAGGAGGCCTCCAGGGGGAGTGGACACCCTCTACTTCCAACTCCCATCCCGGCAAGGAAAAGGCCGGGGCTTTGGACACTGGCCAGTTGGTATCAGAGTCACTTCCTGGCTGGCTTCAGTCAAGTCTGCTCACTGCCGTCCCAGCCTTTCAGCCTTGGCAGGAGTTCTCTGTGCCTGGCCAGGCGGACCTGGGAGCAGCTGTCGCTGGGACACCCTGGTGTGGGGAAGGTCCCGTCTGGACCTGGAAGCAGCCTCACTGTTTAAGGCCCAGACGTAAACCAGCTACGGAACGTGCCGGGCTGTAGCTCTGCGTCTCGGGGCGCGTGAGCAGGCAGGGCTGAGCCTCATGGACTTGGGACCAGTGTGAGGCTGCTGGGAACACTGGGATGGGGTGCAGGGGACACGCCTCCTGCAGACATGGTCACAGGCCGGGTTCTCAACACCATGTGGGGTCCTGTGGGCCAGCCCTGACTCCAGGCTCAGGTTTGAGGCCATTCTTTCCTCTTTGAAGCCACAGTGTCCAGCTGCCCTGCTGAGCCTGGGTGCCTGCCTTGCCCCTGGGAGGGGTCTCGGGAGCAGGCAGGGCGCCCCTGCCATGAGGCAGAGAAGCTGGGGTGCCGTGCGGGCCTCCCCATGGAGGGAAAGGCGTGTCCCTTCCCTGTTCTGATGCTGTGAGGCTCTCTGGGCCGGGGGTGGGCTGGTCCCCGAGCCTCAGGCCAAGGCAGGGTCAGGTCAGTCGTGCTTTTCCAGAAGTCTGATGTCCTGGAGTGGGGCGGCACACAGGCCCCGCCCAGGAGGGCACACACCCGGCCTGTCCAGCCAGCTGGCCCGTGTTTGACAGGCCCAGCAGAGCGTGCGGGCACAGCACTCGCGGGACCTGCAGGTCATTGACGCCTACCGGGAGCGCACCAAGGCCGAGAGCATTGCCAGTGTGCTGAGCCTGGCCGTCACCACGCAGCACACGCTCTACGCCACCCTGGGCACTGCTGAGTTCTTCGAGTTCGCGCTCAAGAACCCCCACAACATCCAGCACACGGTGACCATCGAGATCGACAACCCTGAGCTCAGGTGACAGCTCCTGCCTGGCCCCTCGCTGGGTCTGTGCTGTGCTGATTCTGTCCCCCGCGGGGGCGGCTCTGGGGGAGGGCAGCTTTTGCCCACAGCCCGGCCTCCCCCTGCCTCCCTCCAGTGTCATCCTGGACAGCCAGGAGTGGAGGTACTTCAAAGACGCCGCCGGCCTGCACACACCCCTGGAGGAGGACATGTTCCACTTGCGCGGCAGCCTGGCCCCCCAGCTCTACCTGCGCCCCCGGGAGACCACCCACATTCCCTTCAAGTACCAGAGCTTCTCTATGGGTCGGCCGGCCCCTGTACAGGTGTGGCCCAGGCCAACAGGGAAGTTCCTTCCCGGCCATGAAAGGGAGAGTGCTGTCTGGTGCTTGCAGGGTGCCCGTGTCTGGCAGGTGGGCTCTGCCCTCTACCCTTGTCTGCCCGCCTTGCCCCTCGGTGCCTCCTCTGTACCTGTGCCACACAGGCAGCCCAGGCCCTCCTCTCCTCCCGCCAGGCGTGTGTGCAGACCTGGCGAGAGTGGGTGGGCTGTCCCACCCTGCTCTGTCCCGTTTGCCTTTGCACACCAACCTGGAGGCCTTGGGTGACGTGAGTGTGTGTCCCCGTGTCTGACTGGCCTCTGAGGATGCGCTGGGCCAGCTGGCTCTGTGGATGGGCCTGGGATTGAGCAGGCCTTTGCTCCAGGCACAGTGGGGAGACACGCTGGAGTCTGTGCCTGGGGGAGGCTGGCTGGCAGCTGCCGGGAGGGCTGGCGTGGGGCAGCAGGGTGGCCTTCAGGAGCTGCCCACTGCGCCTGCGACCTGCTCCTGCTCCGGGTTCCTCACAGGCCTCTGCTGAGCTGAGCTCCGAGAGGGGCACAGACGCCGGATCACCTTGGAAGTCCAGCGCCACTTTCACCAAGCACGCCAAGGTAGGGGCCCAGACGACGTCTCAATCATCCCACAGCCCTGCAGGGCCGTGCGTCCTCCTGTCCTCGGAGGCTGAGTGAAGTGTGCTGTGTCTTTGTGGTCCCCGTTTGGCCCTGACCCCTCCCTCTCTCTCTGCCCTCCCGGAGGGAAGAGATCTGGGCCGACTTGCGGCGGGGCTGGGCTGGGCAAGGGTTGAGGTGGACGTCCAGCAGGGCAGCCACAGCTGTGTCCAGACACTGGCAAAAGCTGGTGAAAGCCTGCTTGACTTATTTTTTTTGCCTTTGCTGATGGAACGCGTCTGCCCTTTGTTGGTGCTGTAGAGGATGTCGGGGCTGGGACTCCCACGTGCGGGAAGCCCCAGCCACCACCCCGCTGCCACGACTGTTGGGAGGGGGTTGTTGGGGCTGCTTCCCCTGCTGTGGGTCTGGGTGGTCAGGGCTGCAGGTCAGCCCTCGGCAGGCTGGTGGTGTGCAGGGTGGGTTTCACTGTGCCCGCGCATAACAGCCAGGGCGAGGTGGGCTTCAAGGAGAGCACAGAGGGTTCTGTTGGGTTGGTGTCCGGGGATTAGACAGAATGACTCCTTCCTAGAATTTTTGAGACCCTCCTTTGGAGGGGGAGGGGTTAATGGCAACTGTATTTGGGAAGAATCAGATAAGGGAACTTAAAATAATATTTCAAGTATTTTTAGCAAAATGATGATCCTTTTGCATGAATTTGGAGTTTTAAGAAAAGCCTCAGAGATTTTAATGAGTTTACCCATAATTGCTGCAGGGTGGACCTCTGATAGATAAGGACTTTCATCCTGACCATGTGCCGTGGTCCCTGCCCCTGAACTAACAAGGACCCCGAGCCTAGTCTGATGTCAGGTGCTCATGGTATTTACAGCTGGACAGTTTGGGTTGGGACCTGCTGTCCTTGGACTACCCGTCTCTCAGCCTTGGGTGTTGGTGAACATGTCACCTGCAGAGGCCCCAGTGGCTGGTGGTCCTGGGGGGCTCGGGTGCTGATTCCCTGGCGTACCTGTGGCGAATTCCCTGCCCACTGTCACCTGAGGGCTCATGACCATGCCTGCTGTTCCCTGGGTACAGATTGGTGGCGTCCAAGTTCCGCCACTCTCCTGTGGTCTCCTGTCAACAGGAGCTCCCCCAGCAGCGCTTTGGCCCCCCTGAAGCACACGAGTCCTGTGAAGTCGGGGCACGTGTGAGGTTCGTTCCCTTCAGTTATCAAAATAATGAGCTGTGGCCAGCAGCTGCTCACCATGGATGGTGGGTCTTTATTCAGATGGCTCACTCCATGCAGACTTTATTCCTTAGATGCTGACACTGCCCTCTTTGCCACTGCCGTCCTTCTCACATTAACTCTTGTGCCTTAAAAAAATTATTTTGAAATAATTTCAAACTTAGAGAAAAGTTGCAAAAATACACAGAGTTTTCACGGTGTTTGCCTGGATTTCCTGGTTGCTAACACTGCCCACATTTCCTTATCATTCTCCCCATAAGTGTGCATATTTTTTCTTGAAGAGCTGCTTCTTTTTTTTTGTTTGTTTGGTACCAGAGATTGAACCCAGGGGTGCTTTACTACTGAGCCACATCCCTAGTCCTTTTTATTTTTGAGACAGGGTCTCACTAAGTTGCTTAGAGCCTCACCAAGTTGGTGAGTGTTGAGGGCCACAGCTGAGTCGGGATGACGCTTGGCATTTTTGCCGGAAGTAGTGGTTGAGAGGTGTCGCTAGCGAGCCATTACGATGATGACTTTTGAGTTCTCGCGGAGTTCCTGTTGAGTTCCAGTTGAGCTCTCGCGGGGATTCCTGAAGAGTTCGCATTGGTTGGGGAAGTGCCGGAGGAGGGATTCCGGTTGGTGGTTCCTGATGGAGCCGTGTGGCGTTTGGGAGAGTTCTCGGGAGCGTGTGTGAAGTGTGCTGGTGGAGTTCAGAAATAAAGTTTGTTCCTACTTCAGTGGCTCGTGATTTGTGCCCAGCCAGACTGCGGCAGGTGAGGCTGACTTTGAACTTGGAATCCTCCTGCCTCAGCCTCCTGAGCTGTTGGGATTACAGGCGTGCACCATTACGCCTGGCTTCTTGAACAGTTTCGAAAATAAATTATTGACCAAATGCTCCATTGTGCTCTGAAGCTTAGAGCTGGTCTGTCCTGAAAACGTAGAATTGTGAGGATCCTGAATTGGCATGATCTTGACACAGGCCCCATCCCCATTCCACAGTGTCCCTCTGGTACTTGGTGGTTGCGCTCGGGCTCCCAGGTGCTGGGTGGTCCTGGCTGCCCTGCTGCCGGGCTCTCCTCTGTGGCCCTGGTGATGCCGAGCTCTTGGCTGGTCGTCTTGCGGAGCGTCCTGTGGGGCTTGCCTGCAGTCTGCTGGTGACTAGAGTCCGCCTGTGCACCTGGGGCAGGATGCTACCACCCAGCATATGCTTGTTCTCAGAACGCCACGTTGGAAGGAAGGCAGCCTTGATTCGTCCTGTCAGTGGCAATGTTAACTTTTTCACTTAGGGTGGCATTGCTGTGCTTTGTCCCTGTAAAATTACTGAAGTATTTTGTGTTTAGAATTACAAAGTCTTGAGTATTCAAGTATTTTGTCAGAAGATATTCTGAGGCTATGGAAGTATCCCGTTTCTTACAGACGTTCACCCAAGGTAGCAGTTGACATCTTGCCTGAATCAGGGACAGCGTGACGGGTGCCCTGGGGGTTGTGGGTTCCACCCTCCTGCTCACTCAGTTTTGCATCTTATGGGCTATTCATTCCTATCTTACTGGTTTGTCACTGCCATTGTGTATTTTGCTGCTGACATTTGCATTGCCCCCGTCTGACAAGTGGCAGCCCCTTCAAGCTGGCGCCTGTCTTGTTCCACGTCCCTGCCATCCTTCGAGCCCTTCTCTCTGCCTGGCATAGCAGGGAATGCAAGCTCCTCTCGTCTCTCCCTGCCCATCTCAGAGTCAGAGCAGGACGGTAGTTAGAAACCAAGGTTGGTCCTTGGTGTGCTCACTGCTGCTGGGGGCGTCACTACTGCTCAGCACAGGGGCCCAGGAGGCATATGCCTATATGGACATGCACACCCACACATGCGTGTGTCCTTGTGCATGTGACATGTAGATATCTGTGTGTGTGCACACATGTGCACAGACCTTTGTTCTAACTGTATGGGTTGAAGACCATAGACTCACACTGTGCTTCAAGACCAGGTCAGCACCGCAGGGTTTATTCCTGTTGTCTTTCTCCATGTTTGAACCCCAGTGTCTGATAGTGAGGAACCTGGCTCCCATTGTCTTTGACATATTTACTTATTTGCCTAGTTTTCCTGTATATAACCAGCCTTTGACCACCCTGGTCAGACCCCTTTGGCCCTGAAGCCACCGGCCATGCTGGCAAGTGTGTGTCCATCTGTGTATTTCAGAGTCCCGGACAAGAGTACTGCAGCTTAGGGCTTCTAGCAGTGCATTTGCCCTAGGGTCCCTGTCCTGGACTTTAGACTTACTGGAGGAATTCTCCTCTGTGATGGTGCCACCAGCTTGGAGTACTGCAAGCTCTGTTGCTTTGTTTTCGTAATAGAGCTTTTCTCTTTAGTTCTAAAAATTAACCAAGGAGTTCACAGACTGTCAAACAAGACAGAAAGCTCTTGAATCTGTGCTGCTTGCCACTGCCTCCGGGGTCACATGTGCATGCGTGTGCTTGTGTGTGTAAGCCTTTGTGTCCACACACTTGCCTTTGTGGAGGACGAAATAAAGATAAATAAGCACCACTCTTGAATGTAAGGTTTTTGCAATAACTTTTTGAAGAGGAGGCTTTCTGTTCTGAGCCTTCTTTTTTTCGTACCAGGGGTTGAATTCTGGGACACTCAACCTCTGAACCACATCCCCAGCTGTATTTTGTGTTTTATCTAGAGACAGGGTCTCACTGAGTCGCTTAGTGCCTTACTTTTGCTGAGGCTGGCTTTGAATCAACGATCCTCCTGCCTCAGCCTCCAGAGCCGCTGGGATGACAGTGTGCATGACCACATCTGGCCCGTTCTGAGCCGTCTTGGTTTCAGCACAGCCTGCTTCTCTGTCTGGAGAGCCCTCAAGCAGAGGGCTCAGTCCTGAACACAGCTGCCCATTGCCACCATGGCCTGGTGGGGGCGATGGCGAGGCCCTCTGAGTGACTGCCACACACCCAGGGGGGACTGCAGTGGGGACAGCATTTACGGGGCGTGCCTTACTTGAGAGGATGGCAGCGGCATGTCCACTGTCCACTAGGACCCCAGTGCCCTGTACTGTGAACGCTGTCCCTGCGTCTCTGACAGTGCCTGTCTTCCGCCTCTCTGGAGGAGGGCAGTGAGATCTCTGTGCTGCCTTGGGAGGGACGTGAGGCTGCACAGTCTGTGCTCCTGTCCTGAGGCCTGGCTGCTGCTGTCCTGCAGGTGCTGTTCCGGGCCAGCAGCGGGAAGCTCCTTGCTATGCTCCAGCTGACCGTGGAGCCCCAGCCCCACGTTGTGGACCAGATCTTCCGCTTCTACCACCCGGAACTCACCTTCCTGAAGAAGGCCATCCGCCTGCCTCCCTGGCACACGCTTCCTGGCAAGTCCCCTGCCGTTCCTGGGGTGGCCTCTGGCAGGTTCAGCTGGTTGGAAGAGGCCTCTGCCCCAGGTGGCCAGGGGCATCATGGAGTCCCCCATGCTGTGTGGCAAACCCTGCCACCACCCTTCTGCCTCCTCTGATGCCACCCTCCAACCCTAAGAGCTCTGCGCCAGGGCCTGTCCCCTTAAGAAGTGAGGGCCATGGAGACGGCTCCCCCCGGGGCTCTCCAACGTTCTGGCAGGTACCTTCACAGCCAGGTGAGGCCTCTGTGCTTGGCGGGGCTCCTGTTCACCTCTAGGTCACTCCCCTTGGGTGACTCTCCATGGAAAGGGCTGGAAGGTCATCCCAGGGACCCCAAGGTGATGATCGAGCTGCCCTGTACTGCCCTCACCCAGTTTAATGACCCTGGTCCCTCTGCTGTTTCCTCCTGGGTCTGTCTCCCACCCCTGTGGGGATGCTGTGGGTCAGGCTGTCGGCTCCTGTGCCCGTGACCTGCAGCCTGCATGGCCCACAGGCCGCGCTAGGCGAGTGGCAACATTGTCCCCTTCCCTGTTGCAGGTGCCCCAGTGGGAATGCCTGGCGAGGACCTCCCCATCCACGTGCGATGCAGCGACCCCAATGTCCTCTGTGAGGCCCAGAGTGTGGTATGTCGTGGGGACGTTGTCCTCGCCCCATGTCGCTTCTGCTGGGGTTTTAGCTGAGTGGCTTCCTTTCAAGGTAGTGAAGGGCTCTGGGGACACCCTTGAGGGCTTCCCGAGCAGGTCTTTATTTTCTCTGCTAGCAGATCAGTCCTCTGATCAGCTGCATTTAAATTTTAAGAAAAGGCACGAAGCAAAGTGAATAAAACGAGTGGTAATTAAGGCGCTTATTAATTACCGTCGTCAAGGGATGGCGGCAGTAACTGTGCTATGACTAGCTGGGAGCCTGGATAAGATCTGTGCAATGTAATTATTGAAATCAACATAGAACCAGGGAGCTGCCGACTGCTCCCTCACTGAACAGGCTGGTGAATGCTGACGAGTGCCAGGAGGATGCACCTGGGGAGGGGCTCCCACTGCCCCTGCTGCACACCTGCCCCCAGTGCACACCTGTCCTGGGTGCACACCTGCCCCGGCTGCACACCTACTCCGGGTGCACACCTGCCCCAGCTGCACAGGCCTCAGGCAACTTTAGGGGGGGAGGCAGGTGGTGCTGGCCCCCACGTCCCCCACGTCTGCTTGGCAGGGCCCTGGGGAGCCCCGGGATGTGTTTCTGAAGGTGGCCAGTGGTCCAAGCCCAGAGACGAAAGACTTCTTTGTCATCATTTATGCGTGAGTACTCAAGACAACAGATCTGGAAAGGGCAGGTGGGGCTGGGAGGGGCAGGTCGGGGCTGCTGGTGGATGGGGGGGCCGTGCCCTTCTGAGAGGCAGGACTGCTGAGTTCTAGGGCCAGTAGGGCCCTGCAGAGGGCATCCTCTGCTGGAGCAGCACAAGTGGCTGGAGAGACTCGGAGGCTTCCTGTGCCCACCTAGGGAAGGGTCAGCCCAGGAAGCCTGGCAGCTGTTTCCTCCCCAGTTCATGGGCTGAACCCCTGGAGGGATTGGAGTTGGGAGTGGCTGACACCACCCCAAGACCATGATCAAGTTGCCCAGTTAGACAGCTGCAGCCCCTTCGCTGTCTCCTCCTGGGCCCTGTCTCCCAGCCATTTGAGCCCTCTAACTGGTGCGAGCCGGGAGATTTCCTGCAGGGCTTCCAAGACAGGCCAGGGCAAGGGTGAGCTGCCCCCAGGGTGAGGGGCTGCACCAGCCTCCCCTGCCGTGAGAACACCTCAGCCCTGACTCCTCCCTGGAGGTGGGCCACTGGCCCTGCTTTGCCGTGCAGTCATGAAGTTTCACAGCCCTGTGTTCAGACCTGTGACCTCCGTCCCCCCGTCCCCTACGCACAGCCCACCACCCTTCACAGCTGTTCCGAGGCATTTGGGCCAGCTCAGGCTCTCCTTCATCCCAGGTGCACAGTCCCAGGTGCAGGGACAGGCAGTGTCTCAGCCCCGCCAAGGGCTTCCGTGTAGGTGGGCAGGCGGAGGCCAGGGTGGAGGCAGCTGGCCCAGCCTGGCCTCCTCGGCTCTTGCCCCCGCCCCTGCCCCCCAGCACACCCACTCTCAGGGGCTTTTGCTGTCTCTCTGAGGACGTTTGCAGACAGCCCCTGTCCCTCACAGGGACCGCTGGCTGGCAGTGCCTGTGCAGACGTGGCAGGTCTGCCTCCACTCCCTGCAGCGCGTCGACGTCTCCTGTGTTGCGGGCCAGCTGAGCCGCCTGTCCCTTGTCCTCCGGGGGACACAGAGAGTGAGGAAAGTGAGAGCTTTTGCCTCGCACCCCCAGGAGCTGCAGGTGAGCCTCCTCCCTGCCGAAGTGCCACAGGGTCCTCCCAGCCCTAAGCTGGCTTTGCTAGGCATGCCGGTGCGGCCACGGGACAGGTGCACCTGAAGGCCTGGATCTGGAGTCTGGGAAGGACTCTGGGATCAGAGACGCCCCCGGGACACAGCATTGGGCCATGCAGATTCCCACCCACAGGCCTGTGTTCTGAACCCAGGTTGCTTAGGGAAGGGTCACCATGCCTTGCCTACCATAGACCCAAAGTGCGGGAACGGGGCCAGGCTCTAGACCCGGGTGGCTCCTGAGCCTGTTGAGCTGTCACCTGAACAACCTGGTGACTTTGAGTTGCCCTGGTTGGTGGGATTGGGTACCTGGGAGACTCTGTGTCTGTGAACCCAGAGGCTGCAATCTGACTCTCCCCTTGCTCCTGAAGACAGACCCCGCAGGTGTCTTTGTGCTGCCGCCGCATGGGGTGCAGGACCTGCATGTGGCCGTGAGGCCCAGGAGGGCCGGCAGCCGCTTCATCCACCTCAACCTGGTGGATGTGGACTACCACCAGCTGGTGGCCTCCTGGCTCTTGTGCCTCTCCTGCCACCAGCCGCTCATCTCCAAGGTCTGTGTGAGGCTGCGGGAGGAGGCACTGCAGGACTTCTCTGTGCTCTTCAGGTGACAGGGTGTCACCTGGGTGTCACCTGCCCTGTGCCCTGGGCTGTCCCGATCCAGGGCTGTGTGGGGCGGGGTGGGGGTGCTTGCTCCTGCACCGTCTGTCCCTCTCATCTACGTGGATGTCCTGGTGTCTGGGGCTGGGCTCAGGAATTTTTTGGAGAAGGAGCCCTGGGCCGTGACTGGGACCTGGCCCACCCTCCCCAGGCCTTTGAGATCACGATGGCGGTGGGTGAAGGGAAAGGCGTCAACAAGCGGATCACCTACACCAACCCCTACCCCACCCGGAGGACCTACCACCTGTACAGCGACCACCCTGACCTGCTGCAGTTCAAGGAGGACACCTTTCAGGTGCTGCAGGGCTGCACGGGGGCCTTGGGAGGTGTGTGGGAGGGCTGGCGCTGGGTGCTCAGTGCTGCGGCCAGGAGGGGTGAGTCTGGGGATGGTGGCAGGTGCCCCAGCTCCCTGGTGAGGTGCTGGGAGGCAGGAGACTCTCTGAGAGCCCACCGCCTCTCACTGGACACCCTGGCTGGGAGCACTGTTGCAAGGGGCCTTGGTGGCTTTGCCCCTCTGCAGCTCCTCACTGTTGTGCCCAGATCCGAGGCCATCCCCCATCAGGAAGGTTGAGGGCGCGTCCTGCGGTGGTAGTACCTCAGGGGTCCGCAGGCAGCCAGCTTCTGGTGGCTAGGGTCTCCACAGCAGTGTTGGGAGGGAGCTCAGGAGAGGAGCGGCCTCCAGCCCCAGCAGTGCTGCCCATGCAGGCCTGGTGCCTGTCCCTCCAGGCACTGGGTCCCGGGCTGGTCATGGACGTCCTTTGGCAGCCATGTGCCCCACCTGCCCATAGGGAGCCTACCTCACCCTGAGTCACCCCTCTGGACGCTGCTGTGAGGCTGGTGTAGCTCAGTGTGGAGGCCTGCCTGGCACCCTGAGCCTGGGTTCCATCCCTAGCCCTGAGAAGCTGCTGGTAAAGTGGGTGCAGCTCAGGGTGGACACGGGGGTCTCAATGCTTCTTCCAGGTGGGAGGAGGCGAGACCTACACCATCGGCCTGCGGTTTGTGCCGGGCAGGAGAGTGGGGCAGGAGGAGATCCTGATTTACATCAATGACCACGAAGACAAGAACGAAGAGGCCTTCTGTGTGAAGGTCATCTACCAGTGAGGGCCGGCAGCACCTGCCACACACGCCTGCCCTGTGGACCTCCCCGCCTCTCCTCTCCCCAGCATGTGGCCCTGCCCTGGTGGCCTGGACCTGGCTTAGGGAGGAACATGTGTACCCTGGTCATTTTTGAAATGCCGGTGTCCAGCCTAGGGCTGCCAACACTGACCAAGGCCACAGGGTGAGTTCTCAGCGTGAACAGGAATCTGGTGGCCTTCAGTTACCTTATTCTACCCGAGGTGTACATGAGGCCCACTGGTCCCTCTGCAGCCCATGGAGGTTGTCACTGTTTGTAACTTAGTTTCGATTTTTTTTTTTTAGCAAAATGTATTTTATGAATCATCTAAATGGCAAAATTATGTTTTTCTTACTGGATTTTATATGAACAAAATGAACTTTATTTGCTACACAGTGTTTTATACCGATATCACGTTGTGTTTGTGTTTAAGATCAGACCATCTGAACGCTGGCTTGTGTTCCCTTCTGGTGGTCCTTGTTTTCCTTATTCCCTGCGGACCTGCTGTCAGAGGGTTTTCCCGTCTGCAGGTTAGCCTGGACTGCCCTGGATTGCCAGGAGGGCCCGCCCTGTGCCCTCTTGAGAGTCCCCTCGGGCCTGGCCCCAGGGCAGAGCTGAGGGACACCACTGAGACCGCGAGGGCCCCCAGAGCGCTGCGCTGGGGGGGGAGTGCAAGAGGTGCAAGAGTGGAGGTGGCCTGCGTGCCTGCAGCGACCTCATGGAGCACACACGTGCTGTGGGGACGTGCAGTGACGAATGTCCCTAGAGCCAGGGCCGGCTGCCATGTGACTTTCAGGAATGGCTTGCATGCTCTACAGGGGCCTGAAGGTGGGAGCTGTGGCCGTTTCCTGCTCCCTCTACAGGGTCCTTGTGCCCAGTGCTGCACTCTGCTGGGGCTGAGTCGGCCTCTGGCCCCTCGAGTGCCCTGACAAGCAGCAGTGGGCGTGGCTCCTTTGGAGGGTGGTTTGCTTCTAGGTGGGCCCACTGCCAGGTCCTGCTTGGGCGGACGCTGAGGCTGCACAGTCTCCATGGAAGAGGCCCGTGGAGTCCCGGAAGCCAATGCGGATGCCGGGAGGCCCCGTGGTGGGGCGTGGTGTTGAGCTCCTGCTCTAGGCACATCCACAGGAAGCCACTGCAGGACC